CCAAAGACTTTGAGATTTTAGAATGTAAGCTCTCACGGGCAGGGCCCTCCTAACCTTGTCTTGAGTTGTATTGCAAATGTAATGTCCTCTTTATATTGTAAAGCGCTGTGCATACTGTTGGCGCTATATACATCCTGTATAATAATAAAATCAGGAATCACAGTTGTGTTTGGTCCCACTTCTTCATACCTTTCCCTCATTTTTGGCCAATAAAAAGAATGATGGCCTCATAAACCAATAGAGAAGTGTAAGGGCGTGGGACTTAAGGTGCCCATACACTGCTCGATTCTCGTACGAGAATCGCGGGAAATCCCGCGATCGTACGAGAATCGAGCAGTGTGAACGGAGACGTGCAACCGTTTCTACTGTACGGTCGCACGTCTTCTGTCGAACCAGCATGTTCGAAAACCAGCCGGGAATCGTACGATTCTCGGCTGGTTAGAACGGTGCTCGGAAGACAAATGCCGAACGGGCCATGTGCGCACGCGCACACTGCCCGTTCAGCATTGCGGTCATCGGAAGCCCGCTCCTCAGGGGGGCGGGCTTGCGATGATCGAGAGTGCGATCTGCCTGTTCAAGATAGGCAGATCGTACGTTTTTTAATCCCTGTACAACCATCGCAAGACTAAGGTCTTGCGATGGTTGTAGAGTGTATTGCCACCTTAAGGCTAACTTCAGTTCTCTAGCTGCTACTTACATATCAGATCAACCAGTATTTGGTCCATGTCACAATGGAGAGTCATGTCACAATGGAGATTCTTATTGTGACATGGCCCTTTGGGTTTAATTTGAATTACACTGGTATGGTACAGTAATATGAAGTAAAATAAGATTGCTTTCTACAATACAGGAGACAGGCTGATTCAGAGACGACGAGGTAATAGGAGGTATCATCAGTTGATTGCACACTGGATAGAGCTGTGAGGACACTCATATAACCCCTCACTCCAGAAAATTAGTTTTTTCTTGCTAGTATCCTTAGGTGATGGATATACAAATCAAGATTGGTGGCAAACTTATGACAATATGCGCCATTAAAAACATTTGCTTGAATACATTCCTTCAGTGTGCTGGTGACAAGTTGTCTATGTTGATCGGAGTGGCGCCATCCACAGTCATTTCAGCAGCCAACTTAAGGGGTTTACCGGGAAGTAGTCCGATGGGATACCTATTGAACCTCTCTACTGAGGGAGATGTGCGGGAGTTTATGTACCTTTTTTCTGCGTTTCTTCAATCAAGATCTTTCTGGCTGCATGTGCAACCTCTCAGCTTCCAGATGGGTGCTCTATGGCAGCAGCTTTGGGGACCGTATCTAGACCCTACTGGATAGAAGATGCAGGGCAGGCTATCGTGTTACCAAAATGCACAATATGTGCTTTGCTGTTCATACTGAATGGCACCCCAAAAGCACATATAAAGTAAATGTAATGTGTGCAAAACTACAAGCTCGATTACTACAAAATGAAAGAACAGAATTATACCAAAACTGATCAGTATATCTGCATTTTATCTATCTTGAAGAAATGTTTCTGTGCATTCTGATAATGCAGCACAAGTGTAACTACAACACCCTAGACTAGGGCTTGACATATCCCAGGAGCCAGGCAGCTAATGCTCCTTAAAAGAGAACTATAGCCAAACCTTTTTTGGTTATAGTTCTCTTCTTGGGTCACAGGAGTACATTTACTAATGTACTCCTGTGACCCGAAGTCAGCCTATAGCGGGCTATTGCCCACTATATACTAACAGTGCAGAGCTGCACTCCAGCCGGGAAATAGCCCGACAATATTTTCAGTATCCACCCCGCTGCCTGAAAGCTCTGCCTCTCTAGAGTCCACCTCCTTTATGGTCTGTCCCTCCAAAAAGCACTGGAGGAGCAGAGAGGGGAGGGAGGAATCCCTGCGGGGGGAGCAGGGACTGACAGTCACCATTCTCTGCATGGAGAAGGCATGAGCTGAGGGATCTGTGGTTTGTGATTGCTCAGCTCATTTTCTGGACCAGACCTAGAAACTCAGTGCATTGCGGTTTGCTGCGTTTTTCCCGCGATTTTGCTGCGTTCCAGAACTCTTTTTTTTATAGCTTAAAATGGGCTTTCATGTGCGTTTGCATGCGGTTTTGATGCATTTCCATGTGTTCCAGTGCATTCCAGACCAGGCAAAATGAGAGATGCAGTTTCTGGTCTGGAACGGACTGCCCTGGTGTGAACAGAGGCCGGAAATAGCATAGGGATACATTAGCAGGGCTTGAAAAATTTTAGAGTGTCTCACCAGTCAAAAATGTCACCAGTCAGCATGACCGAACTATAGCCTTGCAATTTATGTTAACATTTTTTGGGGACAGATAGAGCTTTCTTTTGGAGGTATAATATCACCACTGGGGGGGTGTTTTTTTTTTGTTTTTTTTACTATACCATGAAAAAAGTACTGTAAATATATATATATATATATATAAAAAGTTTCCGTTATGTTATAAAACATCTATTCTTACCCATATTTTTGGTAAAAAAAGTCGGGGTCACGTCGCGGAAATAGACACCAAACATGTCAAGCCTTAAAATTGCGTGCGCCCGCAAAAAACGCCCATAGGCAACGCTTACAACGCTTTTACTGCTCATCGGTTTAATGGCTCTAAAATTATTGCTCTCACTCCCACGTTTGCGGCGATATGTAACATGTGCGGCACAATAGGCGCAATCATCGTTTTCACACGTAGGCGCATATCTGCGTGTGTATGTGGGGGGCGGGGACTTTAAAAAATTGTTTCTTTTTTATGCTTTATTTTTTTTATGATTCTTTAATTTTTGTATTACTTTTTCTTTTCACACAACTTTATTGCTATTACATGGGGGACTAAGAATCCCCCTATGTGATAGCCAATTTACATGACAGGTCCTCTTTATGGAGACATCAGGGGTCTCCAAGACCCCTGTCACCTAGGGACCCCCAGAGAAGCTGATGAAGCAGAGATCGGCTTCATCAGCCTCTCTAGCTGGAGAGTGACACTGAATGCAGGAAGTGATGTAATATACATCACTTTCTGCATTCCGGGACTGGAGAGTAGATCAAAGGGAGTTCGTGTACTGAACTCCCTTTAATCTACTGTCACAGAGCCGTGCCGGTCCCGGCTGCATCGGGCACAGCGGATCTCAGGACCGGCAACGGCAGTGACAGCTGCTGATACAAGCGATCGAGCGTCTATAGAGATGACCGATCGCTTGAATGTAGAGCTCCCGGTGTAATTACAACGGCCGGCCGGGAGGGAAGCTGCTCGTCGGGCTTCGCCGTCCTTTTTCAAGCCCTGTACATTAGGATACATTTTGGGTCCAAAAAATTCACTTTCTGCATTCCGGGACTGGAGAGTAGATCAAAGGGAGTTCGTGTACTGAACTCCCTTTAATCTACTGTCACAGAGCCGTGCCGGTCCCGGCTGCATCGGGCACAGCGGATCTCAGGACCGGCAACGGCAGTGACAGCTGCTGATACAAGCGATCGAGCGTCTATAGAGATGACCGATCGCTTGAATGTAGAGCTCCCGGTGTAATTACAACGGCCGGCCGGGAGGGAAGCTGCTCGTCGGGCTTCGCCGTCCTTTTTCAAGCCCTGTACATTAGGATACATTTTGGGTCCAAAAAATCTGGTGATGATCTGGATGTGGTGTGAATGGGCTCTTAAGGTATAGAGCTGGCGGGTGACAGCTGCCATGTCACATGTCAGCTCAAACTATTGGGAAGAATACATTTTACTCTCCCAATACTTCTCCTTATCAATTACAATGGTATTCTCTAGTTGTTGTCAATGGATCTGGCTCCTAAAATGATCCTGCTGATTTCTAGATTAAAAATACTGGCTTCTGAATTCCATATTAATTTCTCCACAGCCCAAAAGCACCCATCCACATCTAGAATATCAGAAAAAACATGCAAAGTCAAACTGAAAATAACAAACCAACAGTTAAAAATAAAAGTATATAATAAGACAAACAAAAAATGTTGTTCTTTTTTAATTAACACCTTCTTATTTACATTTTACCACAACAAAAGGGGCTCTCTGCTTCTAGTTCCCAAATCAACATTTTTTTTTAGTTTTTTCTCATTTTCCTCAGCAGCTGATTAGGGGGTAGGGTTTGGAAAAGCTGCACAGCAATGGCTGTTATAGTTGTGAGAGATAGATATAAATGAAAAGCTTGATTAAAGTGACTCTAATCTCAGGAGTTAAATCCTAAAAATGCATTCAGGTACCTTAACTATTATACAAATAATATACATTTTTGTTATCACTCAGCTGTAGATCCTCAAATAATCTCTGAATTGGTGCTGACACTGTCCCTCCTTCTGGAGGGTGACTACTATTGTTCCTCATGATCCCTGTGTGTGTTGTAATGTAGCCACCGCTCCAACCTTGCTTCTATGATGGACTACAATCTCAATACAAATTAGTAAACTAAAACATGAGATTGTAGTCCAACATAAGAGAGAGCTTGGGGCAGTGGCTACTTTATAACACACACAGGGACCATGGGGAACAGAAGTAGCCACCCTCCAGAAGGAAGGACAGTGTCAGCACCAATTCAGAGATTATTTGAGGATCTACAGCCGAGCGATACACAAATAAGGTACATTTTTGTTAATAGTGAAGGTACTTGAATGTATTTTTATGATTTAACCCCTGAGTTTAGTGTCACTTTAAACTATCTTACCATTTTCCGGCCAAGTCATTTTGTCCACCAGCTTCTTAATGTCAAAAATAAAACAGAGCAGCAAGGCTGACAAAACCGTTTGTGATAGTTTATAACATTTACTTCATCTTAATCCCTGTACCATTTAAGCAATTTCACTCATTCCAGGTAAAGCAAGCTCGGTGCCAACAAGTTAATTTTTTACAAGTCAAGCCATCATTCACCATAAGGAAAACCGCTCCCTGTGATCCATGTAGGGAGTCCTCTGTAATCTGGAGTTAGGTCCATGCAGTCTTGAAACAGCGACATTCGGACGGTTGATATATGAATATAAAGGCAACGTTTTTCAGTTTGCTCTTCGTCTGTACATAAATCAGGTTCTGGAGCTTCATTAATAGAAGCAGTTTTTCATCTGGAACTCCATGGAGATTTCCGGGCCACGTTCTCCGTAGTTTCAGCAGCATCTTTGAGAGCTTTCAGAATCAGCTCATTCTGTTGACGCATCTCTGCCATTTTGGCAGGATGTAATCTTTCTTCTTGCTAGAATGCAAAACAAAAAAAGGAGAAGAATATTAAAATGCATCTCCAACCATCGGACACAATGGGGTTTGTCATGACAAAGTGAGTGGAAACCTCTGAAAAGGGACAGCAACAATAAAAATACTATTTTTTAGATTAGAGGAATGCTAGAATCTTGTCAACTTTTTATTCCTTTCCGTGTCCCTGTAGCTTTTTTTTCTGATGACAACATTCGTTGATCTCCGCAATGAGACCTCACACAGCAATACAATCTGACAAGAGGGGTCTAAAACACTGGCCCTACACTGTTAGAATTGTTTCGAAAGTTCGTTTGCCATCATTGAGTCAACAAATTTCATTCAATATCCCTTGGAAAATCCATCCAGACCAACTACTTATATGGAATCCCAGATGTATTAAACAGGTTTCTCTTGTGGTACATGGTATGATTACATGTGGTTTACAATAGATCAGAGGTAGGTAAACACTGGCCCTCCAGCTGTTGTTCAACTACAAGTCCCAAGAGGCATTGCAAGACTCTGCAGCCACAAGGATGACTCCTACAGGCAGATGCAAGGAGGGATTTGTAGTTTCACAGCAGCTGGAGGGCCGGAGTTTGCCTACCCCTGGGATAGATGATTGTCCTCATGTAGATGTACCATGGACTACCACCGAGAGATGCAGCCGCTGTCACCTATATCATTTGCCCACCTCAGCTGTATACTTTGTATTCTTAATCCAGGTCAGTATATACACTTACTTCCATTTTCATTTTCCAACCCCTGAAACGTCTTGGCTCTTTGATAGTCTTTTTTAACCTGATCCTATGACGGAATACATTTATATCTGGACTTTTCATTCTTGGTTTGGCACTCAATTTTATTAAGGAGCAATAAAAACCTGACAGACCTGACCTGGTTGTGACTCTTCAACATTCTAATCAAAAAGGTGAAAGAGAAAAGTTTGGTTTTACACTTTTATTGAAACTTGGCTCTGTTTTACAATCCTCATTATGACTAAAGCCGGCCATAAAGTGGTCAAATTTCGGGTGGGTCAGCAGGACTCGGACCGAAATTCCATCAGCGTGTGGCCCAGTCGGTACCATTCCATTCGACAAGAATGGAAGGATCTGGTTCGAAAATTCTCAGCTGAACAGTGACTTCAGCCACTGTTAGCTGACAACGGCACACATAATGCAACAGCCTGGCATGGAGAATGCCCCCATCCATGTAGTTTAGTGAGGATGGGGAAACGGAGAGTTTTGGTCCACTGGGCTGAACAAAGGAAAAACTCACAGTGTGTGGCCAGTAGGTATCTGCATGAGCTTGGTTCAAACCAAGTTCCCCCACACCCCCTTCCCTGCCCAATCATATAAAGCTGGGGCATTCCCCATCCTTTGTTACATGTGGGGCAGTGGATGCCAGCTGATAGGGCCAGAAGGAGGTATGTAATTGAGTTCTGCATGCCCTGCGGGCAAGCCGGTTTACACAAAGTTCACTGACATCTAGGGCTGCAACAACTAATCAACATAATCGATTATAATTGATTATTGAAAAAGTTGTCAACTTTTTCAATAATCGATTTTGAAAATAATCGTTAGCTGCAGCTCTACGTGACATCCCTAATGGTCAGCTTACATCAACCTGGTTTCCTCATGTTGCAACAAGAACCCGCTTCTGTTTAGTTCCCTAGACCAAAAGTGGTAACCCTAGGTGAGTTGGGGGATGTGTGTCGCACATGACATCTAGTGGGGCTTCCATCACAGTTTTGAGTGGGCTTAGGTGAACTGGGTTCACACCAAGCCCCAGCTCATCACTAATGGCATCTTAATCTTAGATATCAAAGGACCTTGTCTATGGATGTTTCTCAGTGTCTAGGACGATCTCACCTCTGATGTTTCTCCCTCTGCTGTAAATCATGTGATCCCTTGTGTCAGGCATGTGTATGATGAATGCTTTGTGCTGCTTGGGTAACATAGCTCACTATAAGGTACTGTAACAATCAAACAATCCTTTATATAACAGCCTCTGATCACTGGCCGATCCTTACCCTCCTCATCTCCAGTAAGCGCTCCTGTGGCTGTGCCATGAATGCCCACAGCAGGCACCCCAGTCCCGTCCAGCTCAGCACCGCTAAAGAGCTCATCACTATCCGGCGCGCTGTAGACATGGCGACCAGGCACTCCGCTCTAATCACACATCAGAACTCCGGGTTCATTCATAACACATGACCTTTCGGGCTACAGTTATGAAACGAACAATTGCAGGACAACAATCTATGAGAAGGTTATGATAATTTTTCAAACATGTCCTCACTTCCTAGCCCAGCATTCAATAGCGTCCGCCATTTTAAAGTAGTCCGGTAGTCACTGGCGTTTAAGAAAAAAGCATACAAAATGGCGCCCGTATTGCAGACAGCGAAAGACACCTATAACGAGTCAAGGGTAGTATATATCGCCTACTAGAACTTGGGGCGGCCATTTTGTGAGCAAACATGGTGCTTTAGGGATTAGCACACCAGGAATTGTGGTGTGCTAATTGTAACGTTGGCCACATATGTATTTAAAAAAAATCTTTTAGCCTGCCCTCAATAGATTGTACAGCATATGTAGGTAGCTTCAGGACTTGTTCACACTATATCCATTGATCTGCGTAGATGGACACAAGCTCAATGCAAGGGCATCTACATAATTGTTTTCTATGTACCCAGGATAGCACCATAACAAGAGGCGCGTTTAATTCCTTAGCCAAGCATTGAGTAGATGTTCTGCAGCAGCTTCACTGAACGCGTCGGGTTGCACAGTTCTAAGCAAAATGGCGGAGGAATTGGTGTTAAACACTGCCATTAGTGCAATTTCTGCGGTTTTACAGGGGAAAACTTGTTATTCAGAAACAGTTTTTTGTTCACACTTCACCAAAACAGTAGGTTTCTACAAGAATTGTGATTTGCTCCATCGTGGCTAAGGCACCCTTCTCCATCGCTGCCAGGTGTGCCCACAGTTACAATGGCTGCTGGTACTCTGTCCCCCACCTTCTACTGTGCTCGTCAGCCTCAACGCTCTGCAGCCACATTCACTTCCGCTGCGAGTGCTAAGTTAGCAGTGCTGACTTGCCGCACATCGTTCAGCGGTGGTTTGCTAACTCAGCACCTGCAGCAGCTGAGCAACCGAACGCGCCTCTGGTGTGATGTGCTGCATTAAAATGTGCAATGAGCCGTGTGTCACCGTGGTGCATACATTTGAATGAGGTGTCATTTTGTGACACTTCAATAAAGTAAAAATAAGTAAAATAGTGCCAAGTGTTTACACCAACTCCTTGCACCGTCCCTCACTGCCCATCGCACACTAGCACGTATAAATATAGAGAGAGAGATTTTACTAATTGGGTTTTTATGTCAAGTGCAATGCATTTTAGATACGTTTTACAAGCATGACTGTGACCGTAACGGCAGGTCTGATCCCACTGTACTGACACCAACACATGACGATACACAGTTTTGGTCCTACCATGTCGTCCCTAAAGGTGCCCATACACTGCACGATTATCGTACAATAATCGTATGCGATCGGTTTTTCGTACGATAATCGAGCAGTGTGAACGGAGACGTGCGACCGTTTCTACTGTACGGTCGCACGTCTTCTGTCGAACCAGCATGTTCGAAAACCAGCCGGGAATCGTACGATTCTCGGCTGGTTAGAACGGTGCTCGGAAGACAAATGCCGAACGGGCCGGTGTGCGCACGCGCACACTGCCCGTTCAGCATTGCGGTCATCGGAAGCCCGCCCCTCAGGGGGGCGGGCTTGCGATGATCGAGAGTGCGATCTGCCTGTCCAAGATAGGCAGATCGTACGTTTTTTTAATCCCTGTACAACCATCGCAAGACTAAAGTCTTGCGATGGTTGTAGAGTGTATGGCCACCTTAAGACATAACCACTCTCAGCCTCACCCTGAACAGAGATTTTCCAGCTCGTGGGACAACTATCTAAGGCCAGCAGTGATCGTACGGGCCTTCAAGAAGCATACGACCATCGCAAGACAAAAGTCTTGCGATGGTCGTAAGGTGTATGGGCACCTTTAGAGTGATCATCACTGGGGTTTGGTTTACTCTGAGGTTAACCCTTGACACAAAATAGTAGCTGCCACCACATGCTTTAACGGGAACACCCACCGTTTCTGTGACAATTAAAAAAAATGCCTGTGATGCCCACTGTCCCTTCAGACAGGAATATAACAAGGTTTACAATATGGTAGCACTCCCATATGGATGTACAGGGGGCTGCATGCATTAAGCGCTAGTTCACACCAGAACTGCGTGCGTCTGCGCAGTTGCAATGTGATGCGTTTTTGGGGGTTCTTTTTTGCTTAACATGGAATTTCAGGTGTGTTCCAATGCATTTGTATGCGGTTTTGATGCGTTCCGGTGCAATCCGATGCAGCTAAGATAGGGCAAGCAGTATTTTTTCTGACTGCATCAGAATGGACTGCACTGGTGTGAATAAAGCACCAGAAATCCCATTGGAAAGCATTGTGCTGTATTTTGGCCGCAGCAGCCAAACAAATGGACTGCATCACAACTGCATCTGCTGTGAACTAGCCCTTACACGCCGTACCTGTCCCTCCTGGTGCAGGTCTCTGCATGGGCATGCACGCCGTACAAATGCGCATGCCTGTGTGAATGAGCCCCACATCGTGAGATTTGTTCATCCACGCCGTTTAGCATAGATAGAGGAATCTGCCATATTGTATAAAGCTGCCCATACACCATACGAATATCGGCCGATTTTCGTATGCAATCGCGTTTTCGTACGATATTCGTAAGGTTTGATGGGCAGTGTACAACCGCAAATACTGTGCAATCGATCGACTTTTGACTTTCCAGCAGGTTAGAAAACTTCGGTCGATCGTACGATTTTCGCAAGGTTGGTGGCATTTCCGTACGTCAAAATTTGTACGATTTACACTGCTCATGCGCAAACGAAAATACGTGCAGTCGATTATCGCAATTCGTCCAGGTGCTTTTTTTTAAATTATTGCTGACTGAACCTTGCGATAATCGGGGCAGGATGGGGCCGCCGTACGAAAATCGTACGACGGTTCGATCATCGGATGAAAAGTTTCGTCCGATGATCGCAAGTTGTATTGGCAGCTTATGAGAGCACTGCAGTGAGCACTCTACATGGTGCACTCCTTAGACATACTCCTAACTGCTGTACTATACATACTCCTGACCAATGCACTTTTTATACAATATATACTCCTTACTACCACACTCTCCAACCTCACTCTGTGATGGACTACAATCTCAATACAAATTACTAAACATGAGATTGTAGTCCATCTCGGGAGTGAGCTTGGAGTAGTGTCTACTTTATATCACACATAGGGACCACGGGGAACAAACGTAGCCACCCTCCAGAAGGAAGGACAGTGTCAGCACCAATTCAGAGATGATTTGATGATCTACAGCCGAGTGATACACAAATAAGGTACATTTTGGTAATAGTTAAGGCACTTGAACACATTTCTAAGATTTTAAAGAGAATTGTGGTCTAACCTTTTTTTGGCCATAGTTCTCTTCAGGGTCACAGAAGGACATATAGGTACTAATGTCCCACAGTGACCAAAAACCCAAAGCTATTGCCCCCTTTATGCTGAGAGCGCAGCGCTGCAGCCAGGATGGGTCCCGACTATACTGTCGAGATCAACCCTGCTGACTGAGTGACAGCTGGCTCGGCCAACTAGAGGCAGAGCCAGCTGTACCCGCCTCCTCCCCCGTCCGTCCTGCTAGTCAGCCCTGGACGATCAGAGAGGGGAGGGGGGAATCCCTGTGGGGAGTGGTGACTGACAGTCACCGCTCTCAGGAACTCAGCGATCGGCAGTATGTGTTCGCTGACTTCCCGATCAATAGAGCCGACCTGTGACAGCTTTAGTGTCGCAGGTCAGCTTGAATTTTAAGGATGAGTGTATTTCACTCTCCCCATAATTCCCCTTTTAACTCCTAAGTTTAGTGTCACATTAAAATGCGATGGGACCAAAAATGCGCAATTGTGCTGCAAGTGTGTAACAAAAAACCTCAAAATCACCTGGCTGCGCTCATGCTTAGGTGTAAATGGGGCTTTAAGCGATTCACAGATTAATTGCACTGTTTGACAATATGAGGCTTGCAAGGCCAGACTAGAATAATTTTAGGGTCATGAAGAACTTGTATATCTATTATTAGTATACACATGATATATATTGGCTTGAAAATGCTAATTTACACATTTTAAAGCAGAGAACTAATGATATGTGCAGTAATTGACTAATACTTTTCTCCTCAGTGTATGTGTAGTTGCCAGCTGCCTGTCCCAGACTGACCCTCCCCCTCCCCGGAGCCTTCCTTTGAGAAGATAATGGATAATCCCGGCACAAGCTGCTTTAGCTCTTTGAGAATCAGCAAATCTCAATGTCCCCCGTCCCCCTGTTCCACTGCAACAACTATGAATGTGGAGGTGTGAATTAACTATAGTCATATAGAACATGAAGCTTATAGATTGCTTTGATTTTTAATGTCCTCATTTTAAATTGTAAGCCTCATTAGGGCCTGTGCTCAAAACTATTTTCTGCTGCCCCCTCGGACTTGTAGGTTCAGCATTCCAGAACACATGTACTAATGAGTCCTCCAGAAACAGCACAGGTCTCACTAGAAGATGCAAATGTCATTACTTAGTTTGGCAATTAGCAGCTCATTAATTGCAACTGATGCTCCCAATATCAAGCACCCCTGACCTCCTAAGGGGGGATAATGAGCAATTTTGTGGTCGAGTGCTACTGATATTGCACTGAGAAACTTGAAGGATAGGTAGATACCACCAATTCTGCCCACCAGTCTAAAGGTGCCCATACACCTTATGATTATCGTACGATAATTGTATGCGATCGACTTTTCGTAAGACAATCGTAACGTGTGAATAGAGTGCCCGACCGACAGTACTGTACAATCGTACGACTTTTGACGGTCAAGCATGTTTGAAAACTTTGGTTGATCGTACGATGTTCGCATGGTTGGTGGCGTTTCCGTCCGTCAAAATTCGTACGATTAACACTACGCATGCGCAAACTAAAATAATTGCGGTCAACCAGGTGTTTTTTTTTAACTACCGCTGATTG